TCTCTAACTAGGCTTTTAATTGTTCTCTCTTATAACTCCCAAGTTGAATATTTATTTTATGCTTAACATAATTCAGATTTCTTTTTGTGGACGAATTTTGTATTCACCTACCAAAAGCAAGTATTTACTTTCAAATCATGATTATGAGAATTAATAGTTTTGTGGAACAAAAAAGGAATTTGTTCTTTGTTGCTAGGAATATATGATATAACCTTGTTTAGTTATCTTTATGTAATGAAAGAAAATGCACACTATTGAGAATGTCAACTTTTCTTTAGTTGAATTCTGATATGTGCTGGAGGAGAAAAATCAAAACATTTGGAACCTTCTCTATTACCTTTCTACATCTCACTCTCTAATTCAATAGATGCATCTGAGTTAGTTTCATGACCAAATTTCTAACTGCCACTTTAATTTCATTTGTGGTTTTTCTGTCTCTGTGTGTGTGTATGTCTCTCTCTGTCCATATACATATATATAAGTATGCATCTATCCATGTATTATTTATATTCATTTACAATCTTTTAACATACCTTTGTTGATTTCAAAATTGGGCTGATGTGGCTTTCAAAACCTGAGATGCAATCTTTTTTGGACGAATTCAATATGCTTGCAGAAATCAACCATATTTTATTGGAAATGAGGTCCTAGTTCTTTGCCATCTACCTTTATTACTTAATTTTGACCTCCTTATTTGAGGGAACTCCTCTTTCTTAAGTTTTTTCTGTAGAAGGCTTTCTTTTTTCTTGGGAAGTTTCCATTGAATAATTTTTTTGACCTACCAGTTATATCACTTTTGTTATGTATGATTAATATGAATCACATGATAAATATGTATAATGATAAATATGCAAAGAGCAAAATGCCATCTTTTGGCTAACCAGTAGTGGAGTTGGGCTGGACTGATCACTGATGGAGCTTGAGTTTTATAATCAGCTTCCTTCATGGTTGAGCTTATAGATCTGGAAATCTAAATGTTTTATGCAGTGCCTTTTCTTTTGCTGAGTTTTAATGTGGTTTTCCTCTTCAAATTTTTATTGGCATGTAAACATATACAGTTTTCTCATATAGCTGAAAATTCTTTTGTTGTTCTGTTATATGCTACTCCTTTTTTCTACATATTGAAATTTTTTATCCGAAAAGATATATGTTTTTTGCTTCTTGTTGAGGGATGTCTTTTTATTTCTTTCCACCTCTGTTGGGATTAAAGTGGCAAGTTTTGAAGTTTTTTATTGCTAGTTTGATTGTGGTTGATGAATATGCAAGAACTCTTCTTGATTATGCTTTGCTCTTGCGTAGAGACTTTTTGAGATTTAATTATTAAAAGAAACGAACTTTCTATGGAAAATCATAGGTTATCTAAATATGCTTGCCAAATGCAATGCGTGTTTTCTAGTTCTATAACATATAAGCAAGATTTGGTTTCTAGCAATTTATTTTGTTCAGGGAACCTCTCGACTAGAAGAAATCTGACCAAGAAATTCTCCAAGTCTAAAGGACCGATGTCTCCTATCACAATAATGATTGACCCTAACATTTTTCGACTGAGCATTTCTTTACTGCTATACATGCTAGGCTGATTTTTTTTTTTTGCATTTCTTTTTTTGATAAATACATGCTGGACTGAATATTATACCATGTACATCAGAATCTTCAAGTTCGTTCCATGTTATTTATTATATCGACTTTACCACAATATTTTTATTGACTAATAATTAGAAACGAAATTAGAAGTAAGAAGTTAATTGTGATTCCTGAAACAGGTGAAGAATTTTCTTTTACCGGCTAAGAGTTTTCTTTTACCTAGCCATATGCCAAAAGAAATTAATTAGTACTCTTTTCTCTCTGTTTAGATGCAGGAACCATGCTGAATAATTCAGAGGGTAACAACTCAAAGGATGATAACTCAAAGGATGACATAGAAAGCTGCAAGAAACCCGGGGTAAGTTCAGGTGGTGAGATGCGACCGTGGTCAGAGCTTCCCAGGGATCTTCTTTATGCTATATCCAAACAACTCAGCATCCAAGATTACTTCTCATTTGCCCAAGTCTGTACAAAATGGAGGTCAAATTTTGCACTCTCCAAGAAGGACATCTTGACATCCATACCTCCCCTTATCCTTCTCCTATCAACCTGCAGGGCAGAATTCTGTTATTTTTACAACTTATCTGATGGCAGCATATTTGAGATTAAGATTCCTAGCATATCAATGAAATTATTTCATGGGATTTCTAGTGGATATTTGGTCATGGAAAGCCTTGAGAATGATATTTGCCTGACCAACCCAATCACAAGGCAGCATCTTGTTGTGGCCAGACCACCAGAGCATACTGAGTTTAATAAGTTCTTTGATCTTATCGCGATTGCTTTGATCATCCCTCAAAAAGAAATTCTCATGGTGGGTCTCACTGAAAGGTGTCCACGGCTCTATTTTCGTCGATCCACAGATCCCAGCTGGACTTGTTATGAATATGGCAAGGACAGGTGTTTCATGGATTTGATTGTCTTCAACTTCAAGGTTTATCTGCTAGGCACTGATTGTGAGATTAGCCTTTTAAACCTGAGATCTACTTCTTGTCTGACTCTTCTGCCACTCAATGGCAAGCCTAGATCAAGCAGACGTAGTAGGTTTGTGACTTCAGGTGACCGACTTTTGGTGGTTGACTTTGTCCTAGAAAGCTGGCTACATGTTTATGAGATAGATCTCGTACAGATGGAATGGGTGAAGATCACAGACCTGGGTGACGAATCATTGTTTTTCTCTAGTTGTAAGGGTAACAGATTGTTATCTAGTTGTAAGGGTAACAGATTGTTGAACGTGAAGAAATGGGGAGGGCACAGCAACTGTCTCTACCAACTTGGGTTCATGTCAGATAGGTTTCATGTGTATTCCCTTGAGAGAGAGTTGGTTGGTGAACACATACTTAACATTGGAGCTGCGGACAGTTATCCTCGATATCCTGTTGGATGGTACTTTCCTGAGAGTGCTTACGACATGGATGTTGTTCGGGATGACGAGTAAGGTCTTATGGACGAGAAGTGAAGGCTAAGCATAGGGGTTCTGCTGCTTGTTTGCTTTCTTCTCCCTTTTAAAATTTGGTCAAGACTTCAAACTTTGGAACTTTTTCTGGGTTTTTTGATGTTAGTTTCTCCTTGTTTCGGACTTGTTTTCAGTTTGGAATCTCCAATAACTCTAAAGTAGGGCGGGTGGTTGTGACTTTTGATCACTAGACTCTACTGTCTGGTCTTTGTTTTGTTTGTCTGTGTTTTTAGACATTATGGAAACTTTTGATGCTTTCTTTTTGTTTATTGGGATTTCATTTCTTGTTGTTGATAGGATTGTGCATGGAAATTTAAGGATGCCCAGGAGAGACAAGGATTTATGTTGGAGCTGTAATATTTTATAGTAATTCAGTAATTCTATGCAGTAATTTTTTCATTAATTACTGTATAAAATGACTGAATTATTTTAAAATATTATAAGATTAACATAGACGGGCTTATAAACAGTGCATAATTCATTTTGTGGTATTAAAAGGGGTCCATAATTAGGTAGATTGAGATGGAGTTATGCTTTCTGGATTAAGTTGGCTGCATATTTTGCTTTCTGAATATGTAAAAGCATATACATATATATATATATATATAATCTAATTTATTTCTTACATATTTTTTACAAAATAACCAATTTTTATTTTGTGACTGTAGAATAATTGAGTTTTAAAGATATTTACTGAAAAATATATCATATTGAGTTTTGTAATTTTTTTAAAAAATATTTTTTACTGTATTATATCAATGTAGAATGTATTTTTCAAACTTGTATTTTATAATTACTTATGCAATTAAAATAATTATGTATAATAATTGAGTACTCATACACCTTCCACTCAATAAGATATTAGTTTAAACGACTTCCCATGTATGTTTTGTGCTAAAAAAAATTAATTACTAATCTATTATTAATGGAAATTTATTTTTATATTTTTTAGACACATATAAAAAGATTATATCTATAACAGTGCGAACTTTAATATTAGTGAGTACGGACATTAATACAATATTTTTAACTAGTAGAACAAATAAATATTAAATATGTAGTGGAATTACACTTCAATTCACATCTATTGTGAATGGATAATTATTTGTTTATAAATAATTGAGACATGTAAATTAATTTAAAAATATAAAATTGAAACAAATAAGATTTTCTTTTCCATCTTCTATTGATCTTGAACTTCCTTTGATTTGGATGATGATAAATTGAGATGAGTTTCACGAGCTCAGTAAAAAAAAAAGATTCTATAACGGAGACTTACTATATACATTAATATAATATATAAAATATAATAATATTTATAATCAAGAAAATGTCAAACAAAACATCTCAATCAAAATACACAACAAAACAAATCATCACATGAAATATATTCTAATCCTCACTATTCTAACTTAATTCTTATTCTCATTTCAAATAACACTTACACTCGAAATATCACAATACGTTCGGAACATCATATCTAAGGTTTTATCGCACGATGTTGTTTATATTTTTATCGAGAAAAGGTGAAAAGAATCCTTCCATCGCATGGATAGGATACACAATCTAACATTGACCACAATAGTTACGTTTGCTAGGTGACCCGCTCACAAATACCTATCCACGTCTGAATTATGTTTCAAATATTATCAATATGCAGGTTTACTACACCTATTGAACTTCAGCCACACACGCACTCTCTCCTCCTCGATTCAGACTAAACTAGTAGATATTTAGGGTCCTTATACTCTACGCTCTTTTCAAATCTCTTTTAGTTCTAATTTACTTATTTCATACTTAAGATCTTAATTTCTACGCATAATAAATTATAAACACAAACACACAAAATATACGATATCATCACACACATTAGAGCCATATATTTCAAATTACTTTCTGAATCATCCTGTACCAGATCACACAACAAATACAGGATACTCAGATTTCTCGTGCAACTATACTAGATCATATAACAAGTATAGTGCATTGTACATTTGTACTAGATAATATAATAAGTGCAATGTACCCAAATTTCATACGTACACACACTGATTATATATTTTACATGCATAACATATGTACATACATATTAATACACATATATATTACAATACAGATATATACCCTTACTATATGTCTCACACAGAATATATATTTACATTTACACACACAATCTCTATCGATACATACACATATTCATACTTAAATACGTATATACAATCACAGACAAAATGTGATATACATATTTATTCGCGCATTTATTCTTTTCAGCTCTGTTGTAACACCCAAGAAATTCTTTATTATTATTTATTATTATTATTTTATTTTATTTTAACTTATTTTATATAAATATAAATAAGTATTAATAGAATTTAATTTAATTTAATTTAATAGAAATAATAATAATAATAAAAAGGGGTAAAAAATTATTTAGGGATTTAATTAAAATAATTTTAGAAAAAAAAGGTGAAAATTTGGGTTCTGAGGGTATTTTTGAAAGAAAAATCGAAAATCGGAGGTCAAAACGTAATTTAAAATAATTGTGCCACGTCAGCTGTCCGATCAGCAGCTCCGGCCAACCAGGACGTGCTAGGTGGCGGAGACGCTGATGCGGGAGGCCACGCGGAAGGGAGTCACATGGGTGATCTGCGTGCGCGCGATCGAACAGCTGAGATCTGTTCCCGCGTGCACGGACGACCCAGATCAAAAACGCGCACGGACGGCCCAGATTGCATTGCGCACGGACAATCCAGATTGAATTACAGATGGACGACCCAGATTGAATCGCGATGAATGGTCCAGATTCATTCCCTATTTAATCGCGATCGGACAGTCCAGATTAAAAGCGATGGACGGCTAAGATCAAAGCGGATGAGTATAAATAACCTCATCCGCACCCAAACCCTAACCCTAGCCACCAGAGCTCATCGTTGGAGAAGACAGCCCAGCCGCCGGGGAGCTAACCGTCGCCATACCGGAGCAATTTTTGGCTGCCAAACGGGATAAAAATTCTACCCTTTGCTCAGAATTTGATTCTAAACCCATCTATGGTCAAATCGGAGCGAAAACACTGGCCAATTCACTGGAAAACGCTGGCGAAGCCCAGTGGCGCTGTTGCAGGATGTCTCAGGTTTTGCCTCCGATGAGGTCCTTATCGATTCCCATTCGATGTGATTTTTCTACCGTTGTGATCACCATTTCCTCCTCTACAGGTTGACCAGAGCAAAACACCAAACTGCGACGTGAGCCAGAGGAGCTGCCACACCGGAGAGCCCCACCGCCAGTAAATTTCAATTTTTTGTATTTTTTCGGCCAATCGAGGGCCCTAAGTATATTTTCTCACAGGAACCGATGCAAGTTTGGCTGAATTCGACCGAAAATGGCCGAAAATAGCCAACCCGAGGCAGATTGCCGCCGCGAGCGGTGACGCTGTCGCTGGAGCATGGCAGAACTACCGTGCCGGTATTCTGAAATTGGCCGAGTAGGCCCTGGGTTTGATTTTTGAGTTATTTCGGACATGTGTAGGTACCGTAAGCACATTTCAGTTATTGAAAAAAAAATCAGGGAACCCAGGGACCGCCCATAAGTGTAGTGAAAATCTAGTTTTCGGCGTCAAATCAAGTAATGACCCCTCACCTTATTTCCTATCATGGAATTGAAGTCTGAATAAATGATAATACTGTATTTTGTACAAATTAAGTAGATATGCATAATTAATTACGGTTGCTAATGAAGCCCGAACCGGACATATTTCTCTGTCAATTCCTGTTTGATTTATTTTACAGTTTAAATGCATTATGGTATCTGATTATTTATTCTATGATTTTGAATGCATGTATCACTGCTTACTTCACTACTGTTTGATTTTAGGAATCTAAGATATACTTACTTTGTTGGATGCACGTTACTTGTGTATGTATTCATGTTTGAGTTGGTAACGAAGACTAAGGTCAAATAGGAATGAGACGAGATTTGATAAATGGATAAAATGATAGCCTCACTAGATATCCTGAGAGATGGTGGACGGACCGAGTTTATAGAGAACCCTATCGTGAACGTTGTCTCATACCGGACGGGGTATAAAGACTTGG